ACTTTACATTTCTCGCGATACAATGATGACATGTAATGAAATTCATACAAACACTTGATATGTCGTCTTTGATATGTCGAGAATGTACATACTTACATAGATCCAGGTTCGATTCCTGGCTGAGGTGGTATTTTTTCGCAAAACAATTACGAATCTTCACGACTGGTTCGTGATCGAGCCGTGCCGTGACCCTCTTTTCTTATTTGTCGAACTTCACCTCGAGTTTATTCGATCAAGTTCTCTGAAAAAACGCGTCGACTGTAGAAATTTGGTTTCTCAATTATTGCCTCCGCACCGTATCTTCCCTCCCATTTTGTTAAAAGTTTAACGTCGACGTGATTGCGCATATTCTCTATGATTTTGCCAAATAACGTGTTGTTCATTAATTTGTATAAATTACTTTTTCTTGAAATCATTTTTAGCGAGTTCTAAATTTCGTATTGAGTTCAATATATTCCCGGAGTCTTGGAGATTGCGAAAATTGCAATACGCGATGTATTTTTGTAACGCGAAAACCATGACGAGTACATTGCTGTAGATTGCGATGATATATGACGTAACGCTTCTTATCGTACAAGGTTGCGAGGAATTTGTTCTGTCGCTTACCGAGTGGTTTATCGCGTGTCGGACAAAACAGTAGGTTAATGTGCGCGTCGTGAAGATTGCGGATACTTCAAATCTACCTCGAGAATATAACCGATAGGCGAATCCAGTAGTGTTGCGTTTACATTAAAATTGGACACATTGACGATCCATCGAAAATCTGCGTAAAGCAATAGTTGACACATTACCTAATCGTACAAGTTATTAACGTACATAATACATAAGGTACGACGATAGTTTTGATGGATCATAATGGACTGCGTGTACTTGTTGTTAACTCGCGCGTATTGGTTGACTTAGATCACCGCGTATACCGCGTTCGATAAACATGACCATGTCGATGTCAGTGAGCAGTTCGAAATTGACGCGAGTATGCTTCAATATTCCGTCCCACGTAAAACCCGATAGAGTATAATAGTACGCAGGATCGAGTTCATAACTCGCGATGCAACTATCATGAAAATTTTCAAAAGTATCAGTCAACAACAAGACATCAATCTTGAGATATAAATCGCTGTATTCGCCGAGCGTTTGAATGGAGAACCGCTGCCATACGTGGTCGGCGTGCGCGTCACTCTTGGACACGGTGTCATCTGTCAATGAACTGTAAAATGATTCGCGTGATGGTAAATACAACTCCTCCAACTTTTCGATGCAGTCAATGTGCTCATACGGAAAGGTGCCTTTACGCGTCAGTAAATTAAAATTTTGCGTCGATAAATTTTGAAATCGCATTGCAATATTCACAGCTTATCTTTACTTTGGAAGAATGCCAATTTGTCGAGACTGATATTGAAAAATTCGAATACATCAATAAATTGTAATTTAACACAATTTTTCTGATTATTTTTGTTTTCCGTATCTTTGACATTTTTAAACGAAATTTTTCTTTTGTTATCGGAAGTAATTCTACTCGTCCTTCATATTCAGTCGTAGCTATTTTCGTAATGATAAAATGCGTGTCATAGCCGGATAATAAATTGTGAAAAACTACGGAAATGCGAGTCTTTGTAATTTAAATTACAATTTGAATGCGCGGGATTTCTAAATCGACCGGTTAGATGGCAATGATGGCGTACCCGCGTGTCATCTGGAGCAAACGATTTTTTGCACATGTGACAATATGTAGCGTTATTAAAATTTTCCCAATCTTCTCGCGTAAAATCTATCATAGAGACATTAACGGACAAAATCTTTAAAGTCTTTAAGCGCTAAACTTTCCTCAGCAAACCACACGACGCAATCCTTATCGCGACGAAACCGATATGTGGATAGCAAGGTATCGAGCAGCGTACATAATATTCTATATTAAATACTCGATGGTACGCGTAGTTCGATGTTTTCGGATGTCCATTTTCCGTCTTCTCCAGGATGCATTCCAAATCCGTGTACACGACAAACGGGACTCGTTCCTTCTTGCTATAATTGTTAAAACTCAGCCTTGTTGCTTGGTAATCTGATGACACAGTCATCTTTTTGCAATGATGTGAGCCTCCAATTTTTCACTCATGCTAAAATAGTGTAAACATTTGTAAGAAGCACTATTTTAGCACTATTTTAGCACTATTTAACTATTTTAGTTTTTTTAAAACTAGTATAAAATATTTCTCAACTTGTTAAAATATGTATTTTTACTGATCATAAAAAATTTCCTGTGTTCTTTTTTGTTGAGTTGCGAACCTAAGTGGGACAGATTCTTATCCACGCGAAATGTCTCGTGTTGTCATCCCGCGAATCCTGCATGTACAGCAGATTGACATGCTTTTCCTTCTTCGTATTGGTAATACGTGTGGAAGGATCGAAAATTCTTTCTTCTTTTCGATGTAATATACATTTATGGATATGTTGTTGAGAAATTCAAACTTTTTAATTTGTCCAATGTCATCGGAAACTCAATGTTTTGAAGATTGAGTACCGACGTATAATGTGGATACGAAGATTCTCGTTCTGTGCGCCGTGATGCACACCCTCCCTTCTTATTCGCTCGAGCCATGCTTCATGCAATTTCTTCTGTCGTGCTCCAGGAGGATTATTTGTATATTTGCCAATGGCGTTGGAGGGTGTCGCCGCTGCAATCCGACCGATTGAGTATATGCGACAATGCTCATCCGCTATCGCGTTCCTGAAATTCTTCCAGGAATGCCAGGTAGGCTCAATAATGCGCAACCATTCGTGTAAATTGGACGAACGAAAGAATTCACAGTTTTTCATGTTGACACTTTTGTTTGCACGTTTGTTATTCGCAACAAATTCACCAACGTTTGTTATTTGCAATAAATTACACTGTATTTACCTTGTTATGTTTCTACATGATACTTTGCATGCTCAAACACAATGTTCCTCGAGAAATTGGCGATATCGTATTAATGACCGCAGTCAAAACATGGCTTTCAAACGCCGTATCAATCTCATGCCATCAGCTTACGCTGTATCCAGCATCCGCGGTTGCAACGAATCGTTGGCACCGAATCTTTCAAACTTTCGAATCGTACTATCCGTGCGACCAATGATTGTCTAATATTAATCGATAATCGCGGGCGTTTAATTCGACTCTTCTAGCGACTCGATATACTTGTCGCATCGTTGCTTCCACGCGACATACTCTTCTCTCGAATTCAATCGGATAAATTGTTCCAAAAAATATGTTTGTTCCATATTAATTCTTCTTTGATGTACAACTCTCAACTTATAATTCGGCTAATGACAGAACGTGTCACAGTCTTTTCATTATATCTTACCAATGATGATTGTATCTTCTTTAGAATATTTTCGTATGTGATATCTAATTCCAGAGTGTATCAAATGATGTATAAAGTAGATTTTATTCTTGACTTATGTGAAAATGCAATAATTACGTTTTTAACACGATGATCTCAGGACACGTTGTGGCGTGTCCATTGTTCTTAAAATAATATCATATTTCATATTATTAACCTATGTGAAATGTTTGTAATTTTAACACGTGTCCGATCTCATCGCGAAAAACATCAATTGTTCTTAAAAATATATATTTTGTACCGTTGATCTATGGATTTGCAAATTTGTAATTTTAATACGTGAGGTGATCTCATTATGACATAATAAAGATATTTACGCGTACGTGAAATTCATCACAGCAACCATATATTGGTGCTAATATTGTTGCAAATGTTGTAGTATCTACAATTGTACCATATATCAAATGATGTACGAAAACGTGCCCAAAGTAGATTTATTCTGTATAATCTCATCGCAGCTGCCGTTTATTGGTGCTTATACAAAAATGCAAAATTGCAATTTTAATGAGAGTTATATTTCACATCTCGCGTCGCTACTTACGCAGTAGATCGTCGAAAAAAGAATAGAGGAATATATAAATTAAAAAGAGCTTCAACAATCATTATTGCATTAATCGCTCTGTGAAAGAGTCTATACCTTTGTAAAAAGAAACAGCTCTTGAAAATGAAAGGGAAGCTCTGTGAATTATTACATGCTTTATTCAACAGAATAAGGCATACAAAAAACAGTAAGCTTCATTATCACAAATATTTCTTATACATTTTATATATTTTAATATATTAATAGCTCACTTATATGTACTTTTTTTCTTACAGTATATCTTCTCATAATTCATCATCATCTTCGGAACCCTGTACATCTCGTATCTTGGGAAGAAGATTTGTCTTAACATCCACAGCTTGTAAATATTTGAATATTGGAATCAACGTGGGATCTGTATCCTATATGGAATTATGTATTGGTAATAATCGAGGCAATCATATTGCTTTATGTAATGTGGAAAACCCTCATTGAGAAACGTGTGGATATCGAGCAGCTTGTGCAATCATTTGCTCCTTCATCGTGTCAATTCATGATCTAGTTATAGAATTCAAATGCGAAATACAAATATTGTAAAGTTGACATTGCGCGATACATGCTTGTACATGAAGCCGTCAACCGTATTCTTTCTATTCGAATTTGAACATTGCGTCGAACATGTATATTACTGGCTCTATCAGAATATATATGGTGTCAGCGAAAAATTTAAACAATTTATAAACTTTTTACGGCAGAATTATATCACAGATAAACATACTGCAATAAAAACTTTGCGAGAGAGTGCCATTTTTGATTGAAAAACTTCGATTGTGAATTATTATATAACCTACACTATAGATAATATTGTACACTATGCATTACATCATCAATAAATATATATTACGATAAATATTACTCGGTTTATTCTCCATTTTTCCTTTCAGCATCAACAGTTTCAGGTTGCGCTGCGATAATGAATCGTGTGCCGATGCAAATTGTCGCGAATAATAATATCAACCATAATAATAAATTTAAATTACTAAGTAATATTTTATATTTTTTAAAATTTACCTTTGAAAAATAATTAATATTAAAATTAAAATTACAAGAAAATATTAAGACAAAATATCTTGGTGGGAAGAGAGAGAACGCATAAGAAAAGAGGAAGAAAGAGAGAAGAAAAAATGATAAGAGAAAAACATGGCGGCGGCGGCGGGCGGCGGCAGCGAGCGGCAGTGGCGGACCCCGCACCGTGTGATGTCATGCCGAGGACTCCTCGCTTCGCGGACCCTGCGCCATATTCCCCCTGCTCGCCCCGCGGACCCCGCGCCTAGTGACGCACTTCCCCCCTTCCTTACCCCGCGGATCCTGCACCCATCGCTTATGAAGTGCCCTGTGTCGCGGAATCCCTCTGCCCTTCTACCTCCCTCGGAGCTCCCGTGTTAGAATCGACCTATATTGCTACTTATTTCGGAGAATTTTTTGTGTTTAAAGATTAAAAATTGGCACAAGCGTCAATTTGCGATGTCGTGTCGCACTCTGCCTGGTGACCAGCGGTCTTTGACGGTTAGTCGGTCGAACGAAATAAAATTATTTCGAAGCGGCGTAACGTTTTATTACAATGTTTTTATAATTATGACAATGATTTCATCAATTTTGATTATAGAAGTTTTTAATAAATTACTTACTGCTGTTGAACTATACATTAGAAAGCAAGAATGCTTTTGCGTTCAAGAAGCAATATCTTCAAATACATGCTTAGAAATATGTCTGCGTTATTCAGTTTTAAGAGATAGCATGAAATCTCTTTCTTATGCATTTTGAGTAGGGCATAATACTATTTCAAAATTGTGTCAGAAACATATGAGGCAATTTGGATTGTATTACAAGATAAAGTTTTTGGGCAACTCAAAAAAGATTGATGGTTAAAAGTAGCAAATGAATTTGAAAAATATATGTGATTTCTCAAATTGTGTAGGAGCATTAAATGGAAAACATGTCCAAGTAATACATGTCCATCTTTAAAGTACTTTATTTTAATATTATACAATATTAAACGACTAATTTTTTTAAACTTTACTCCTTCAAACAGTGGATCTACATTTTATAATTGCAAGAGTCAACATAGTTTTAATTTATTTACATTTTGTGATGCATAATATCAGTTTATTTTCTTAGATATTGGAGCAGAAAGACGGCAGAATGATGGTGGAGTATTTCGAAATAACAAATTGGACTTTATTATCTTATTGGAAGACAGTTCTCTACAAATATCATCACCAACAGTAGTTGGAGTCAATAGTCCTACTTTGCTATATGTGATTATGACAGATAAAGTTTTGCTTTGAAAAGTTATATAATGCGACCATATTCTCGAAGTTAAAGACTTGATCAAAGGAAAAGATTTAATTACAGATTGAGCGGAGCAAGCGCGTAATAAAAAGTATATTCGGAATATTAGTCGCAATATGAAAAATTTACAGAAAACCAATTATCTAGCATCTTTTACATTAAATAAAAAAATTGTGCAAGCAACATGTTATTTCACACAACTTCATAATTAATTGCGAAGATAAAAATCGATATTATTCAATTTTATAACTAGCCAATCATCAAGTTGCATTTGAAGGTTTTCAAGATATCACAGATGAAATAAATTCTTGTCAAAATGCAGCATATATAAGAAATCAATTTGTATTTTAATTTGTATTTTGAAAAAGATGGTGCAATTCCGTGGCAGACTACATGAACATCAAAATCATATACGCAGAAACACAAAAGCACATTCAGTGATTACCGAGCACAGATTAGATTACGATCACGAATTTGATTGGAATGATGAAAATATTAAAGCGAATGAAATTTACAAAAACGGCTAATTTCAGAGATGCTTTTAAAAGACAGAGTAACAGTCTAAGTCACAATCTGATATTGAATTTTTGCATCACGCATACATTTCCGTTTTGAGCAAATTGTAACCTTGATTTTTTGATTGCGAGTTATTGAATTCAGAACCATTGCACTCAGTTGCTGCCTGAAGCTCAAGGTGTGCGGATGCGCTGTACGATATACTTAGCGCGAATTGTACCATACTCCTGCGCGTGTTTTTTCCGTTTTAATGTGAACTTTGTTCATCTAATGAGTGCCTTAAGTGCCTTAAGTCTAATGACATTTTAATGACCATTTTTTTCGTTTAATTTAAAAAATGACAGATATGTACGGTCATAATTGTTACGAGGCCGCAACCTAAATAACACAAACCGATCTCGTAACACCGTTGATTAATCAGAATCTTAAGGATCCTGACTAACCCGAGAATTATCAAATAAGAAATTAAAATAAGTTTAAAATAATAGAACAATGCGCGCTCTTGCCAATTGCAACGAACTGATGTGCAATCCGCAAGGACGCTGACTCCGATAACACTATGTTGAAACGCTGACGTACCAAACAACGTTTCGACACGAGGACGCGCCGAAGGTAATCGCGTAACAGCAGACTGATAAAAGTGACGAGAGTAATCAAGCGGCACTCAAAGGCTCAGACGCACGAGTACCGATGCGTAGACCTTAATAAAGTGTGACATAATAGTGCGCGTTTAAGATATTGTCGGATCGAAATAATCAACGCGCGAGTGTTCAGTAAAACTCTTTTATTCAATAAAATAAGTATTAGATAAATGGCTCCTTCTTCCCTCTTCCGTCATTTCCCTTTGGTTGCGCTCGGAGCGGCACAACATAATACTAATATTAATCGACGATTTTATCATTAGGCTCATCGAATGGACACAGGATTATATTTTTACTTTTTTTATATCCAAAATTGAAGATGACTCAAATTTGAGTCGAAACGTTTTGAGTTTATATAATAAAGATTGAAGTTTTGTAATAAAAAGTGTTAATTGCGCATTATTAATAGCGCTGATTCTTATTTGCCTTATTGTTTTCCATGCTTTTAATACCAAGAATCATTTTTATTAATAATAAATTATATTATTATGAATTATCAAATACTGTTTATTTTAATCTACTTTTTCTAATTCTACTTTTAAAGCCATTTAAAGAAATTTTATTTCTATCATGATTCTTTTCTAATAACATAATCGACATAAAGCTTCTCCCAAAGTTTTTAAGACGTCATCTATAGCATCTGAGGAACTGGCGTTTTTAAAACATCCAGTAAAGCTGTAATTCTCATTCATTGTGCAATTTTCGGTGCTGAACGCGACGCGGCGCGGCGCGACCGTATATTGGTGGCTGCCACAGTACAATATGCAAAATTATGCTTTTTTATAATGTTAGATACGATTTAATTTGAAGCGCGTCGTCCAGTGGTCTTATTAACACAAAAAATTTATAACTACATTTTAAGTTTGCAGAAGACTCACCGGAATCACTTGGCACATTTATTTTTTTTCTAGCTCTAATGTAACAATCACGATATTTCTACCTTTTTTTGTAAATCTATTATGCTTATATTATCTGTTTAATATATTAATGTTTAATAATATAATATTAATATAATATTAATACAAATATTATAATAATATAATATTAATATAATATTAATACAAATTTTAAAAAAAGACTAAGAATAATTTTTCTAAACACATTTAATGGCTATATTCTTAAAATATAAGCTTTAATATTCAAACATATCATCAATTGTATTTTTCACTTCTTCTCATAATGCTGATTTTTTTCAATTTTGATCTTTCTTTAATGTTCAACCAATGATTATGAAGATCTATCCATAACTGCTGTTATGAGACGTTCGTCGAATTCTATATTAATATATTAATATATTAATATATTGGAATTGTAGTGATTCTGCACCTTCAGTTTCAGTTGATTTTTGTGCTGCAATAAAAAGTTCAGTAATATATATTTCAAGTACATATTATATTAAAACGTTTCTATCTCCGCGTCGATCGATTCTGCAGGATAGCGTCGATCGGTTTTTGGTCAGGATTCGGTACGAGAAATAAAATATCGTGTCTCTTGGTATGTCTGAAGATTTATATTTACAATGCCGACTGGCTGTTTTTATATGTACAGTATTTACAGGTATTTCGCCGTTGGTACGGCGAAAAGACGCGCGGTTTCTACGTATTATATACAATCGTTTGCTCGCGGTCGGTTCTCCGAATTTCGTCGCGTTCCTCGATAGGCGCGGCGCGGGCGCGACGGTGCGCGGGGATTTCGGCCGGCTTGTTTTGACGGATCAGCTGTGTGTAGTGCTATGATGGATCAGCTGTGTGTAAGGCTATGACGGTTCGAATGCAGGATGCTCCCTGCTTCTCGATCGTCAGAGGAATATGTGCACAAGGGCTTTCTTTGTGGAGCCCAGGTTGAGAAGCTCCTCAACCTGTGAATACTTGTGCGCTGATGGATTTAGGAGCGATCGGCCAGAAGCTCCTGGCACGATAGGTAGCACCCTAGATCGCTTTTTCTGGAGAGGATTCGGAATATCGAGAGCAGTGTCGGACTGGTTACTGTCTCGCCGGAGATAGGTCTCATTTATCTCCCGGACTCGCTTAATATACCCGAGCCGGCCATCGGTCGGGAGTCGTCGGGAACGGGTCGGTCGGACTCGGGTCGGGGTAGTTCCGGGGGATGTCTTTGTCGGAATCCCCGCGATAATTCGCCGAACGCGCTCGGGAATTCCGCGAGGATGTTCGGTGGCGCGGTCGATAGCGGGGCCGGCGGTGGGGGCCTTACCGTGTGTCTATTGTTTCACGCGGCGCGCACGTGAAGCCGCGTGATCACCGGTTTGCCGCGTCCGCTGTTCGACGGGCTTTTCGACGGTGGGATCGCGGAAGGATCGCCGTGTCGGCGCCCCGACGGTTGATCGGTCGGGGAC